ATACTCATCAATACTAGGTTATTATAAATATTTTTAATCCTTGTCACCTACTAAAATTCTAAACATTAATTTATATAATCTGTACATAGAAGACAATAAAATACTACATACCTTGGTCATCATATTCTCCTCTCCAGATAACACTTCCATTTGGAAATTTCGGTATGTATTATCAATATTATTGATTTTATTTACTGCTGAGGTGATTCCTGGATTTTTGTCAATCATAACTTGGCCTGAAAAATGAGAATTCATAAAATATACTGCCAATTGGTTGCAAATAAAACTGAAAATATGAAATGGAAATAAATCATTTTCTTTTGGTTTATGAACAAAAATTGCATCTAGCGTGTGTATTGCAGCATGCAATTCTAAAAATTCAACAGATTAGCAAAGTTAATGTAGCCTCCAATATAAACACAAAAAACCCACATAGGTACATTGTTAAAGAAAAATTTTTGAGGAGTTTAGGTCTACTTAATGTTTTTTTTTTTTTTAAACTAAATCTCAAATGGGCCCCATACACAACAATAAACAAAAAGGTAGACCATAAGGTAAAGAACAGGAAAAAGAGATGTAAGGACCATGGCAACAAATGGTCTCAGAAATCGCCAGCCTGTCCCCCATGGCCCCAAATCAAATGTCTGCTTTACTATGTGCTTAAAATAGACGCCTTCACATTGGAAATATATAACAGCAAAGTAAGTTTTCAAATAAAAGAAACATCAATTCTTGGGGTACCTCGTTGGCTCAGTCAGTTAAGCAATCTGACTTCAGCTCAGGTCATGATTTCAGAGTCCTGGGACTAAACCCTATATATCAGGCTCCCTGCTCAGTGGGGAGTCTGTTTATCTCTCTCTCTCTCTCTGCCCCTCCTTCTGTTCATACTCTCTCTCAAATAAATAAATAAAACCTTAAAAGAAAAAAAAAAACAGATTCTTTAGTCTTATCTAAATAGAATGTTCATTTATTTAAATTGGTTTTTTTTGTCAAATATTTGCCAGAACTGAAAAAGCTACAAAGATAATAAAATACACCAGAAATGGTATATTGATGTCCTTTAATTAAAGTCTACTTTTTTGGGTCAGCACTTAAAAAATTTGTAAGAGGGATCCCTGGGTGGCGCAGCGGTTTGGCGCCTGCCTTTGGCCCAGGGCGCGATCCTGGAGACCCGGGATCGAATCCCACATCAGGCTCCCGGTGCATGGAGCCTGCTTCTCCCTCTGCCTGTGTCTCTGCCTCTCTCTCTCTCTCTGTGACTATCATAAATAAATAAATAAATAAATAAATAAAAAAAAAATTTGTAAGAATCTTTATGCCATCTCATTGCATAAAAATAACTTGATTGTGTTAGTAAAAAGTACTCAAAAATACAAACACGCTGATGTTGGACCAGAATTTGTCCGTTTCTTTCTGAGAATTCGATACCTGATTTTGAATATGATAATATCAATAAGCTTTAGCCAATCACTGTTCTCATCCTGTTCTGCTTCAGGTACCAGAATCCAATTTTTAAGGTACAGTAGTTTGAAATAATGAAAAAAAAACAAAAACCCACAATTGTGAAAGTTTATAGTAAAGACTTTAAAATTACCACTGTATGAAAATGTTTCACTTTTAATCTGAGTGCCCCTTTATAAAACAGGGATGCCAAAAGGCATGTTTGAGTTAGGACAAGCAATGATTCATAGCAAAGCTTATCCTTGACATTTGCACCCAGTCATAATTATAAAGATCTGCTTAGGTATTTATTGTATTATCACTGTGCATTATCAGCCCATTTCATCAATAAAAACAAAGGAAATGCAGCACAGCGTATTTCTGAAATTCTACCCATGCAAAATAGGGAGAACTACATTTTAAAGGTGAAAATAATTCCCAGAAGTTCTGACAATTACTCTACATTTAAAAAAAGATTAATCTGGCAAATACATTGATATCAAATATTTGTAAAAGGACAACTGCTATCATGATTACTCTTCTACTTCTTTCCTATCCCAAAAGATAAAGGACCCAGGCTCAAACTTGGTCTTACAGAGGTACAACGTACAAAAGCATCATTTCTAAAAGGCTAAGGGCGCTAAGAAACAAAGTGTGGTGCTGACATATAGAAGAGGTTCAATCAGTTGAATCAAAGCATGTGGAAACACTGTCACACTTTTGAAGGTAAAACACTAAAATTTAAACCTAGAATTCAACATAGGCTTGAGGGTCTAATAAGTTCTGTGTACCAACCAAAATGATGGGATGCCAAAGAATTCTGCCAAAGCAAAAGATTCGAGTTTAATCTATATGCTTGTATATTGTGTACATAAAAGCCTAAACTGATTTTTGGAGCCTGCTATCACTTGGGAAAGAATATTCCAAAATGGTTCTCGAAAGAGAGTATGTAGTCCAAGATCCACCTTAAAATGATGAAATGATATAATGTCCTGTTTCTGTAATTTGACATCTAAGAAAATAATTTTAAAAACTAAAATTAGAACTTGCTAATTACTTTCTAGCACATTAATATTACTAACACACTCTTACCAATTAAATGCTTGAAAGGTAGTTGATGATCTCGAAGGTTAAGGTGGGCAATATGTCCAACTCTGCTAAATCCTGAAGTCACATCTTGACCTTCAGGAAGCACAGCTTTCAAAATTTCTTCTGACTTAAAGTTTTCATAAGTTAGTTCCAAATTATATTTAGATATCTGTGGATTGACATTAAGCTGCTTTAAAATACTGAGTTCTGCCCTCTCAAAGGAATCACCGGTAATTATTTTATAGGGATCCAGCATAATTAGTCTGTTTGCTTCATCTTCTGGGTCTTCAATCACACGTTTTATGCCCGGGCGCTGCAGTGCTGCTCTTTTAAGGGATCGCAACAATTTATTGACTATTTCTTTCCTTACTTTAAGCACTGGGATGGTGACAGTCTTTCTAAAAGCTGTTCTATCAAGCTTTGTCATTCCTCGAACATTAGAGGGTGGTGAAAACAATGCAGAGTCTCTCTGGTCTGTTTCTATTTCAGGCATGACTGAGAATCTCTTTCTTTGATCCCACAAGAAAATACCAGGTGCTCTGCTAAGCTTCTGTATCTGTGATCTCCAAACTAGTAGAGTCAATGATTCTGATTCAGATATTCTACAGCTTTCCACTTTGAAAAGTATTCTTGAAAATCCAAATGGCTTCCATAAGATCCTAAAAAAAAAAAAAAAAGGATGCCTTAAAAAAAATACCATTAAGGGGTACCTGGGTGGCTCAGTCAGTTAAGCGCCTGCCTTCCACTTAGGTCATGATCTCCAGGTCCTGGGATCCAGCCCCATATTGGGCTCCCTGCTGAATAGGGAGTCAGCTTCTCCCTCTCCCTCTGACCCTCCTTCCCCTACCTCGGGCTCTTTCTCAAATAAATAAAATCTTTTTAAAAAAAATACCATAAAGCTACAAACTTACATAATCAGAATAGGTTAAGAATAAAAATCTAAATTCTAGGGGTGTGTGCGCAGCTCAGTCAGTTAAGTATGGGGCTCTTGATTTTGGCTCAGGTCATGATCTCAGAGTCAAGACACTGAGCCCGGCATCAGACTTCATGCTCAGCCCCAGTCTGCCGGAGATTCTCTCCCCTGCTCCCCCCATTCCCCTACTCTTTCTCTAAATAAAATCTTAAAAATCTAAATTCTACAGTTTTAAATAACCTGCTAAATGCTAATAATTAAAACTTCTAGTGGTGTGTGACAAGTTTCTATTTTTTCAGTGATAAGCTGTCTTTTATTAGCAGTAAATAACAAATTTGCATCTTCAACACACCTGCTGGGAGGACAAGGGCTTGGTGATCCATCAGCCTCCTCCCTGTGGGCAATGAACCTCTCCACCCACAATTTTCTGTACAATACATTTGGGATTGGAAGGCTGAAATTGGAGTTAAAAGATCATCTCTAAATGAAATGGTCATTATATTTATGACTTTACCGATGGCAATATTTGCCAGGATATTTTTGAGAGTGCTACATGCTTTACACATACTAACAATTTTGGGAGGTGTGTGGTATCATATCCTTATTTTGTAAACGAGTAAACTAAAGGTCAGAAGCAGGTTAATTCACCCAGTCTCGCTGCTGTAGGCGGCTGAGCACGGATTAAAAACCTGGTCTGGGGTCGCCTGGGTGGCTCAGCGGTTTAGCGATCCTGGAGACCCGGGATCGAGTCCCACGTCGGGCTCCCTGCATGGAGCCTGCTTCTCCCTCTGCCGGTGCCTCTGCATCTCTCTCTGTGTCTCTCATGAATAAATAAATAAATAAAATCTTTAAAAAAAATAAAAAGAAAAATAAAAACCAGGTCTGACTTCAGAGCCTGTGGTCTAATATACTGCTGTGTTGTTTATCTTCAGTGCTTTACTACCACAAGCCCTGCCTATGACTTGGGGTTTCGGTATTCTGAGGACTGGGATTTGCTGTTAGATGCCCATCCCATTAACAGTATCAGTTACTTTGTCTTCTAGAAAACCACAGAACTAACTGGAAGGGAAAAGGGCCCTGCCCCAGAACCCTGTAAAGCGATTCTCAGACTTCACAGTCAGGGTTCAAATCTGGTCTAGCTGTGTCATCTTGTTATTTCTTAACTGGAGTCTCAGTTTCCCACAAGGTTACACACATTCCGTCCTACCCAGTGCACGGGCCCAGGCTCAGGGCCCAGGCTCAGCACCCAGGCAGTGGCGCTGACGGTTCCGCGCGCAAGCAGCGCGTGGCGGGGAGCAGACCTCGGTGGGTGCGTCCTGCGGCCCGACCCTCGGCCTCTCCGTTCAGGGGCACTGCGGCCGCCGCCTCGCCAACGTCACCACCCCAATTCCTGGCAGCGCTCCGCGGCGGACTCCAAGACTAGATCCCCTCACCTCATACTCCGGTACGCCTCGGAAACGGGTCGCTCGTGGAAGGGCGGGCCCTAGTGACATCATCACCGTTCGCCACCGAGCGGTGAGCGTCATCAGATCCCGCCCACTCCCTGCTGTCCCCGCAGCCCGGGTGAGGTAGGGGAACCCGGAAGGGCCGCGCCCACAGCCCCGCCTCCGATGCGAGTAACGGCCGGAGGCCTGGGGTAGTATCCCGCAGATGGACCTGCTAGTCGGCCGGCGAGCAGCATGCAGGCGCCCTGGGGAATCGTCGACGCCGAGCGGAGCTGGTACGTCTCTGCAGAGGAGCCCGAAGAGGCGGAGGCGGAAGAGCTGAGTCCGTTGCTAAGCAACGTAAGTGGCCTCCGCTGGTTTCCAGGTGCTGAAGACCTCGGGGCTTCCCAGAAATGCCTGGCAGATAAGAGCGGGAAAACGGGGAGGTGGGGGTACGGCACGGGGAGAAGGGAGAAGCTGGAGCCTCGTTCTTTGGGGGATGAGGCCCCAAGGCAGCAGCCAGATGCAGATGAGGGCGTGAACGTGATAGCGGCGTACCGTGGTCTAGAAAGAAAAGCTGAAGTAAAGGCGCTGGCTGGCACAGGTGCATGGGGCGCAGCACTGATTGGAGACGGGGGACCAGACCGGATGGGCAGCCCCAGCGTTATGTAACTCAGTGCTGTTTGTGAGTGTCTTTGTGGACTTCCTGTTCTCTCCACCAGTCTTGTGAGGTTTTGCCAGAGTCACAAGATTTTCCTCTTCTAGGCTTAGTCACTGGCTGCCTAGAAACATCTTCATACAGAGATCCTTAGCGGTGAAGGAGGGGGGCGGGGTAGTCTGGTGATAAGTACATAGGCCCTTCCCTGACCCTAGAACCTGTGCAATGGGCCATGCACTGCAGCAGTTTTTAGGACTTTGCTCCCAAATGCTGGTTTTTGTTTTTTTTGTTTTTGTTTTTTTGTTTTTTTTTTGGAACAGGGTGTTTTCAGGAGTACCTTCGGTAGAGCAAAGTGAATTGTTTCTATTTATCACATTATTGCAAAGTATTCCTGACCATCTTTGCATTTGAGCCGACTTAATTAATTAAATATCATAGAGATTACTTTTGCAGCCCTGGTAAGTGCGGAGCAGCCATCGTCTCCAGCAGCCCCAAGCTGACTCAGTTCTTCAGTAATCACATGAACTGAGGCCATCTTCCTCCCCTCTGTACCGCCCCATTCCTATACTACCTTCATTTTTTTTTTTTGCAGTCACAGGGTTAGTCGTGGCTTTTCCTGAAGTCGGCCTGGGCTCTGTACTGGTGGAGATGATTTTCCTAGGAAATGAGATTCCTGGCACTACTCTAGTAGGAGGTGGGAAAGGAAGAAAGGAAACCAGTGCAGCTTGAGAAACTAGTGTGTCAGGCAGGGCCTGTGGTTTGCATGAGACTTTGTCCATAACTTGTCATTCATTTCTTGATGAAATTTGTTTGAACTTCACCATCCAGACATTTAACAACAGTATTAAATTTGTGTGCTTGCAGGAACTTTACAGACAGGAATCCCCAGGTGTTTCGTTTGGTTTTTCTGTGTTTAATTTGATGAATGCCATCATGGGAAGTGGCATCCTTGGCTTAGCTTATGTTATGGCTCATACTGGCATCGTTGGATTTAGGTGAGTTTTTTTTTTCCGTCTTTTACTATGACTTTTATATTTTTTTTCCATTTTGATAGTACACTGAAAATCAGAGATAGTCTCCAGAGCTCGTGCTATACAATGTCTAGATAAATTATTTCTAGGGTTTTAGCATTTTCCCACTACGTTTCTATCATTCCTAGTCTGTAGCTGGGAGGGATGCAATCTAATTTGTATTGTTTATCCAAAACTGGCTAATTTTTAAAAATGGAAATTTGATCCACACTTATAACCTTAAGAAGTGACTGTTGTGTCAAGTTGGCTAAAGTGAATTAAAGTTTATCAGCCATACAGATTACTTATAAATAGCAATTTTATGAGTGTGAAACTTATAATCTTTTCATTTTCCTCCATCTTCTCCTGTCCTCCTACTGTTAAGTAATCTTGTTTCGCTGAGTCTAGACATGTTCTATGCCTATTCCTTTTCATCTAGACTCGACTCATTCCAATTGGTCTCAGACAAAAGACATTCCTGGCTTTTCTGTGTTTCCATAGCACTTTGTATATTCATTCTATTATTATAATGTGTTGTAATGATTTGTTTGCAAGTTAGTTGCCAAACTGAAATCCTTTAGAACTAGATCTTAGCATTTTGCAAGTTTGTTTTATCAGTAGAAGCAGACCTATTTTACCAGGAAATTTAAAATGCATCGAGTCTCATTTAGGTTTATTTTCTGCTTTTATATTGAATTTCTTGATAAGCAAGCCAATTTTTAAGTAACCCAACTTGCCTTTTTTTTAAAAAAAATACTTATTTATTTTTAGTGAGAGAGCGAGCACACACAAGTGGGAGAGGGAGAGAAAATCTCAAGCAGACTCTACGCTGAGCCAGAAGCCTGACCTGGGGCTCGATCCCATGACCCTGAGATCACGACCCAAGCCGAAACCAAGACTGGAATACTCAACTGTCTGTGCCCAGGCGTCCCCCGCCCCAGCTTTCTTTTATAATGGGTTATATGCACAAACTCATAATTTAAAAAAAATTAAGTAGGAGCCACACTAATGTGGGGCTTGAAATCATGACCACGAGATGAAGCCTTACATGCTCTACTGAGTGTCAGGTGCCCCTCATAATTTTTTAAAAGTTTTTATTTAAATTCCAGTTAGGTAATATACAGTGTTATATTGGTTTCAGGTGTATGATACAGTAATTCAACAATTCCATACATCACCTAGTGCACATCAGGACAAGTACCCTTCCTAATCCCCAATCACCTGTTTCACCCATCTCCCCCACCCACCTCTGATCACCATTTGTTCTCTATAGTTAAGAGTCTGTTTCTTGATTTCTCTTTTTTTCCCCCTTTGCTTGTTTTGTTTTTTTAACAAACTTTCATAATTTTAAAACTTCAAAACTGTATTTGACATCTTAGGCAAGGTATTTTGGGGTTCCCTTTGAAAAATCACATTTTGTACTCCAGGGCCTTACATGCAGATGTATACCATTGAATGTGTTCCTATTGAATCATCACATTTTCCAGTTAGTGATACCAAGTTGTTATTTTGTGAAGCCTCAAGTGTACTGATAAGTGTACCTCTCAGTTTTGCCACTTACTAACAAGTATTAAGTAGACCATGAAGTATTTCTTCAACTTTTGGGGCACTCGACTAGAGCCAACTTTTTAGAAGCTTGTCCTGTCAGTATCCTCCTGAGAATAAGTAGGAAATTATGCATGTTGTCTCTTTTCACACTTTGGGTGAAAGGACCCTAATTATTACATTATTTGAACCTTTTCAGATTGTGTCACTAGATGTGATAACTGGTTTGGTGAAAGTGTATGTGTTTTAATGGATGCTAGGAAATGCAGTCTTTTTTAAAAAAAAATTAGTGTGAGTCGAGGGAGAAGGAGAGAGAGAGAAATCTTTTTTTTTTTTTTTTGGTATATATTTTTTTTGGAGTTTGATTTGCCAACATATAGTATAACACCCGGTGATCATCCTGTCAGGTGCCCCCCTCAGTGCCTGTCACCCAGTCACCCCATCCCCCCACCCACCTCCCCTTCCACTACCCCTTGTTCGTTTCCCAGAATTAGGAGTCAGGAGAGAGAAATCTCTAGCAGACTCAGCTGAGTGGGGAGCCCGATATTGGGCTCCATTCCACGACCCTGAGATCATGACCAGAGCTTGAAACCAAGAGTCAGATGCTTAACCAACTGATCCACCGAGGTGCCTCTAGGAAATGCAGTCTTAATTCAGTATTGTAGGTGAAGATATGATAGGGAGGTGGTCATTGGAAGAGTAGGGATAGAGGGAAGGAAAAAGAAGACAATGAGACTTCACAACTAAAACTTCTGTTTAGACATAAAATAGGAAGAAACAATTATAAAAGGGAAACATTGCAAGGGCACTGAATGGCTGAACCAGCAGTCAGCAAACAAGAGTGCTGAAGGAGAAAATTCTTTGTTCTAAATAAAGTTTGTTTCTGATTTTTTAAAATTTAAAAGCAGTATATTTTCATTTAAATAAAATTTGGTAAATACAGAATATGTTTTCTTACTTTCTTTAGTGACCATAATCCAATTGCTAGAAAATACTCCCTGTGTACGTTTGAATGTGAAAAACATTTGTTTTTATAATGAGATACTTCAAAAAAGAAACCTTTGTGAGGGTTTGACCATATACTCTTTTATATTTTAGTTTCTTGCTGTTGATAGTTGCTCTCCTGGCTTCTTACTCAGTTCACCTCCTGCTTAGTATGTGTATTCAGACAGGTGAGTAAAAATATTATGCTCAGTCATTTGTTGAAGCATCCCCTTAAGACGATAACCACATACAGGATTGGATGTCTCAAATTTAATTTCCAGCAGGCATACATTATTATCAGGTTTGGTGGTTGAAACGGAGAATTTCAAAAGGCCGGGATAGATAGACCCAATCCTAGGGGAATACTTAAGGACAGAATGGGAGAAGGAAACTTATCTGCCTTTCTCTATAGCACACAGCATAGTTTTCTAGATTAGGGTAGATTAGGGGAAACACCTGAAAGGTGTTTAAAGAATCCAGACCTTACCTTATGGGGAAGTAGTAGACAGGTGTTCATTCTGATCATATTTCTCCTAGGGTGATTATTTCCTCAGAGAATACCTTTTCAGATTTACTCCTGCCTGCTCTGCAGGAGGCAGGGTCACTAAACTTTGGATTTGTTAACAATCCAATTGTTACAAAGTTTTATATTTTTATATGTGAGTCTAGAATAAGACAGGGTTTTGTTTTGTTTTTGGTTTTTTTTTTTTTTTTTGGTAAATGACAGAATTATATGCAATTAAAATACTAGATATGTATATACATCTTTCCATTTGGAACTTTATTTAATTCAGTCATGTATTAAGTTCTTTTCAGCTGCAATAAATAAAAGTATATGAATTACAGAACTGCTTTAATAGAGTTTTTCTTTTGGCGTTAACAAATATTCTGTGACCCATCAATACTGGTCTTTTTATCTGGATAGTGTCTTTTATGTTTGGATTAGGTTAGTTTTGATGCCCGAATCATGAGTTTAATTCTTAAATGGGTGATATCACTTTGCTCTATCAGGTTTTGGTAGTTTTCAGACTTTAAGAAGCAGAATAGATAAATAAAATTTAAAAAATGGGATTATTTTGGCTAGAAAAGATGATAAAAATCCAAAGGTATTTCTTGAGAATTTTGACTCTCCAGAGCATAGTTCCAAATCCTCATCTCTATTTAGTCTGTCTATGCATCAGACATACATGCAGATCTTTTTATAAACAGATTCATAAACCACAGGGATTCTAATTCCAAGAATCTGAGGTGCAGTTTATTTTTTTTATTTTTTTTTAAATTTTTATTTATGATAGTCACACACACACACAGAGAGAGGGGGGGGGCAGAGACATAGGCAGAGGGAGAAGCAGGCTCCATGCACTGGGAGCCCGACGTGGGATTTGATCCCGGGTCTCCAGGATCGCGCCCTGGGCCAAAGGCAGGCGCTAAACCGCTGCGCCACCCAGGGATCCCTGAGGTGCAGTTTAGAAATATGTTTTTTAAAAGTCCTAATGGTGATTCTTATGCAAAACTGATACAGGATCCATAGTTCACAGCTATGACTTATACCAGTACATTTGGCCATCCAGCCTGCAAATGTGTGCATGTGCTTTCAAGGGGCTTGAGTGACAGTGCAGAGAGAAAAATACTAGGAAACAATGCAGTAATATTGATCTGAAAGTACAAGTTCATAACGGCATCTCAAATTCAAGAATAATAGCATTAAATAAGTGTCTATAAATTCTGCTAACACGTGACTATAATTTTAATGACATGTTTTAAAATTCTGCTTCTCTGACAAAATTATTTTTAACTAATTGTAGTTTTTAACATCTTAGTAGGTTATTTTACTCTGGATTCTTCTGAAAGAGTAATATGTTAGTCAACTGTATGGCAAGTATGTCTTCATTAATTAAAATGTTATAACATGCTTTATTAATTTCAATAATTTGGAAGTAATATTCAATTTAGGAAGATTTCCAAGTAATGCTGATTTTTTTTCTCTTTCAGTTGATCTATATTTAACTTTAAAATTCTGACATCGTCTTGTTCTTTTCTGTAACTTTAGGGCATATATGAACTGAAAACCTCTGTTTCTTTCTCTTTTTTCTTTTTTCCTTTACTTTTGTAGTTGACTTGGTCCATGAACTAACTTCTTCATGGTTCTTCATATACATTGATCCACCTGTCTTCTGTTGATTGAATTCCTTCAGTCACTGTAAAATTCTTTGTGGAGGTAGGCTTTAAAAAAAATACACATACACACACACACTTATATGCACACACAAATGACTAGAGAATAACGGGTAACTAAATTTTTTTCCTCAGTGTATTGGACTGTCACAAAGGAGTATTAGATCAGATTCTTTGGTCAGAGAAAGAGCAATCAATAGTCTTTACAAAATATCTTCTTCATTTATTTGCCTGGAGTACAAGAGAACTGTTTATTTTTATTAAAAAATAAAGGATTTCTTCATGTGAAATTCTGCTATTTTGGATTTTATATAGGGATTGGGGTCTCTGTAGACTGTTTTGGGGAGCTGAGGTAGCATATAAGGTACCTTAATCTCTCTAGCCTTAGTTTGTCATCTATAAAATGGTAATGCTTTCCTTTTTGGATTGTTGTGAGAATGAAATACAATAAGGTATATAAAACGCCAAGTCTTTGGTCAGTGTTAGCTCTTGTTAAGAGTTCTCATTGATGCGAAAACCTTAAAGATTGCAAGGTGTTGTACATACTGCTGTCTCAGAAACAGGTGGCTTATTGTGATGCTTGGGGAAACTATTGTGCTTAGGGAATAAACCCATAGGTCCCCTCCTCTCATCTCCACATCACTATCAACAGGAGGGAATTCACTGATCCTACAACCTTTGTACTTTCCTTCATTCTCTTGTCCATATATCCCCTCTTTGTCCAGTTGAAGTTTCATTTTATGTTATTACAGTCACTTTCTCGCTCCTCCCTTTTTTCGTCCTACTCCTCTGACAAAACTCTACCAATGGTTAGATGTGACTCTGCCTACTTCACACATGCACCTGTGCAACAGAATTGTTCCTGAAGAAAAACACACAACTATGCGGATTGATATCTCTATAGTTGAATGTCTGGTGGACCTATGATGCTATCACACAATCCTTATTAACTTCTTTAGTCTATTCACTTGCTTACCCTGCTATCTAGGAAATGACTTTTTCATATCTTCTCTTTTCTCTCAAACTTTCAACACATTTTCCTTAATTATAATCTTAGCAGATATCCTTACTTTCTATTTCACTGAGAAAATAGAAGGAATCATAAATGAACATTATAAGCTCTTGCCACCACTTATACCTTCCCTTTTCATATGTACCATATGCTGTTACTTTGAACTCTTTATTTCTCTAAGAGAACTAAAGAACTCTAAGGCCTGCTTCTCTATTTCTGCTGTGATCCCATCTGCTTTCACCTACATCCCTCCAGCCACCCTCTCTGTTCTCTCATCTTCTTTTACCTGTGTTTTCTTCCTATCAATTTATAAAGAATCTTTCATCTCTTCCATTTTAAGAATGATTCCAGATTCCTTCATTATGCTACATGCTTTCATAGCAGAACTCCTCCAAAGACTTGTTTATGCCAGATAGTTTCCTTTCCTCTTATTCTCTCTTTCTTCCCACCTTAATCATCTTTTGGACCCACTCCAGTAGGTTTTCCCCCATTATTCCACTGAAATTTATTGTACTGATGACTTACACATAGTTACTAAATCCAGCAGTTAGTAGTCAGTCTTCACCTTAGCTGACTTCAGCAGCATTTGGTAGTTAGTTGTTCCTTCCTCTGTGTGATGCTTATTCACACTCTTCTGGTTTTTGTCCTATTTAACTGAATGCTTCTCTTTTTTCTGCAAATATTCTTCGTCTTCTATCTTCTAAACATTGGAATACCCCAGGACTATTCCTCTGATTTCTTTTATATTCACTAGGGCTCATAGTGACCCTAAAATTTATGCCCTTGGCCTGGATCTCTCCCCTGATTTTCAGTCTTATATCCAACTGCCTCCATGACATCTCCACTTGGATACCAATATATATGTGAGAATAACCAAACTGTCCATTTTTGCACTTCCAATCTATACCTTCCACTCTTTTCTCATCTAAGTAGGAAGATAATAGCATCTTCCTTCTAGTTGCTTAGGCCAAAGATCTTGGAGTTTTGGTGAACTCATTTTTTCTCCTCACACTCCAAATGCAAGCTCTGCAGAGACCCAATGAAAACTTAAAAATACTGTATTTAATAGCTTCAGAGAACTAAAAGAAGACATTGGATTTTTGAAACAAAGACAAGAAATTACTAAATTATTAAAATTATTACAGAGAACACAAGAATTCTAGAAATTAAAATTTTGAGTTAACTTAGTAGTTGGGTTGAAAGAGTTAAGGACATGTTTAGGCCAGGGGTGTAAGGGGAAGACAAGAAGCTTGGAATGAGAGAGAAAAGATATAAAAATAGAGGACCAGTCCAGGAGGTTCAGCATGCAAATAACTGGAATTCCATAAAGAAAGAAAAGAAAAATGTAATGGCAGAAAATTACCAACAGAATAATACTAGGAAAGTTTGTGTAACTGAAGGAAATTAGTTTCCAGATTGAAAGGATTCTTCTTAGTATCCAATATAATAATTGTAACATAGTTCATAACAACACACATCATTGTGAAAAATCAGAAGAATATCCTAAATCAGAGAATATCCTAAAAGCTTTCAGAGAGGAGAAACAAAACTCTCAACCAATGAACCAAGAACTTTAAGAGCAAACGACTTCCCTTGGAATGCTTTAAATAAGAAGACTATATATAAAGCACAATACCTTCAAAATTTAGGGGAGAGGACGGGTCCCTGGGTGGCTCAGCGGTTTAGTGCCTGCCTTTGACCCAGGCATGATCCTGGGGTCCTGGGATCGAGTCCCACATCAGGCTCCCTGTATGGAGCCTGCTTCTTCCTGTGCCTGTGTCCCTGCCTCTCTCTCTCTCTGTGTGTGTCTCTCATGAATAAATGAATAAAATCTTAAAAAAAAAATTTAGGGAGGAGTGATATCGGTATAGAGTCCTATACTCAGCAAAACTACCATGTAAGTATGATGGTAGAATAATATTTTGATACATGCAAAAACTCAAAAAATTATTTCCTATGCACAATTACTTAATGAGCAATGGAGGGTGCCATTTACCAAAG